AATTTCGTGTAAAGGCACTTTTCGACCCCTGATAAAGAGCATGCTTTTCCCAAGCCCTTGTCCTGTGGCAGCTAAGCGTTTTCCACAAAAAGAGGGCTCAATTACGTCTTAGTCACGGAGCGCCGTGACGTGTGGGCGCCTGTGACGAGTAAACGCCTAAGGCGCCATGGCCGGCACCTCTATAGATCCCGTGGTGATTCGAAGCCGACACCTCGTGTCTGTTCGGTCTATGCCTCCTGAATAATTCCGGCTGGGTGCCGGGCCGCGGTGGGTCCGCCGCTGACCCGATGGCCCCAGGGCAGCGTCACCACATGCCGAGCTCGCCACACCCGTCGTGGATGGCAGGCAGCCGCCACTGGGAACTCCTACACACACACAGACGCGCTGCAAACTTTCTGCTCATCGCGTGGCCAGCGTTCCACTGATAAGGATGTAAAACTCCACGGGTAACATTGGCCCCCTGAAATCACGCGGCACAACGGGTGAAACACACGCGATGGCTCGGTTTGGGAAAGTTCGGGCGTCGCCAGCCTTGCCCCAGTTCTGCAGCCGAGTACGCCCTGGAAGAGAGTCGCACCGATGCGTGCTTCTGTCGTCAATACAAACAGCGCAGGGCTTCATTTTCGGCTTCCGGTTGGGATTTTTTAGCAGTTTTGAGAAACGCTTTGATGATGAGCTTGGGACCTACTCGCTTGGATAGTCCCTCGCAAACAAGCGGAGATATTTAAGTGTGTGTTCATTCGATGGAACCTTTCCGAAGGCACATGCACCTGACCTGCATGCAACAGTGCGTGCGACAACTCCAGTAAGAGGCAGAGCCGTCCTCAACCGCTCGTGAGATACAACTGCTCGGGCGAAATCTTGCACGCCGAGCCGGTAGAGCGCGCGCGCCGGATGAGCTTCGTGGCGACGTGTGAACAGTGTGACGCCTCGTCTCTCATCCTGTGAACGGTGTGACGACCTGACCCTGATCACAGCTGCGGCCCCGGCGCGGCGTCGGGGCCGATCCCATGACCTGCGCGGGATGCACCGTGACCTGGCCGGGACCGGCAGGGCCGCCGCGAGCGGAACGCGCGCCGGCCAGCGGTGCGCCGGCGGCCTCGGCCGTGTCATGGACGGCGCCGGCTGCTCCAGCCGGGGTTCTCACGGCCCTGAGCGAGTTCTACAGCCACGCGCATTCCGGCCGGTCGTTGGGGCGTGGCGTGCGGGGCGGGCGTGTCAAACGCCCTTCCCTAGAGTGGCGCCGCCGGCGAGCAGCTCGCTACGGTTGACGCGCGCCGCGCGCCGAGGACAAGCGGTTTTACGACAGCCAGTGCTGCGGCGTGAGACTCTTATCTCCTTAACTACGCATGAAAGAGCCGCGTGCGTTCAGAGCAGAAGACTGTCTTAAGTTGCGTAAGGCGCGGCGGCGGCGGGTACGGGTGCGTGTGTCGCTCACCCTGCTGCCAGCCATTTTGACTTGATGTCTCTTAACCTCAGCGCGACAAAATAGTGGCTGTCTGCAGGATCTTGCTGACACTGTGAGGGCGTTAGTGTTATCGCGACAAGCCAGCAGCGTCACGCCTGCCGCCACTGTTGCTGCAACAACCCGGCAGCCTGGGCCGTCTGCTGCGGTCGCCGGCGTCACGCTCGTCACGTGACGTCTGGCCGAGCCGGGCCGGACTGGATCGGATCGTGGCCACGTGACCCCCCGCCGGTGACATACCGCTCGCGCCGTCGGACTATGGTCGACAGGCGCTGCGCCGCCCACGCGTCGGACCAATCGGCGTAAATCCGGCCGTCGGCGGCGCTAATCGCACGGTGACGCCCGGTGCCCGTCGCCGGCGACGGCGGCGCGGCGGCGGCGGCGAGCGGCCGGTGGCGTGTCGGCCGGCCCGGCCGCGGCGGGCGGGGCACGCGACCGCCAGCCTCTCATTACGGCCCCACTCACCCCTGATGGTTAATTCGGCGACGGCCGCTGCGACCGCGGCCTCTGCCGGTGCGTGGAGCGGGAGCCGGTCGCGTCACGTGGCGTGATGTGTCAGGCGACATGGCGTGGACAGGTTGCGTCGTGTTACCGAATAAAACGCGCTGCTGTGACAGAAATAGAGTAGAGGTCCCTGCAGGCAAAGCACAGATATACTCTCGCCTTACTCTATCATCAAAAAACCCAATTTACTCACGACGACACGGAAGCTGTTTGCTTGTAAACTTAAGCGATGTATTTTCTTCTTCGGAGACAAACGCTTCTCAGTTTAGCATCCCAAGGCCGACCACATCCGCCATCATTCCCGTCTGACCCCCGAAACCACGGCACCCAGCACAGGCGTCACCCGGAGCTCATCCCAGCCGCGTCATCGGACGTCATCGCGGCGGCGCGAGGCTGCGGGCGCGAAGTGGCTGCGGTCGCTGGCTCCCACGCCATCGGCACTGGTGCCAGGGCCGGCAGTGGCGCATTCTCAGCGTGGTTCGGCTTCTGTTCCGCTTCGCCATTGACCCCGTTCCGCACTGACGTCACACGTGCTGATTCAGGGTCCTGTTATTCGACAGCAGTCGGCGATTCGGGCCCGCTTTCCGAACCACTAATTTCAGTCTGTGAGATCGAGTTGGCAGGGCGGTTTCTAGCGTTTGTCCTTGGAATTGTCCTTGCCGTCGATTGTCCTCCATGTCGACGCTTGTTTATGTGTGCTTTCGCCTCACCACGCCCCTGGCTAGATCGGCGACGTTCAAACTCTGCCTGTGACGTCATGACCTGTGACGTCACGGGTAATGACGCCCCGCCCGCGTCGATGGCACCGACACCTGTCCATGTGTGGCAGGGCGCGCCGCGGGCCGATTAGAGCGATATGATCAGCACTGGTCACTGATGATTCAGTGCCCTTCCACTGCGTACTGCGGGGACATTGCGGTGCTCAAGCACTGTTTGATGCTGTAGTATGCATTTCGGTATGTATCGACGAACACTGGTAGATTGGGTGTCAAGAGGGCTAAGGCCGTTGTTCTTATATTCGCGCATGTTTCATCTAGCTGGAAAGCGCTTCTAAGAAACGAGAAGTTAGTAGGCACCTGCGAACTAGAAGGTACTGCGGGATGTATGAGGTTGAAAGTTCGCCAGGCCATCGTCTGTGTATAGATATATAGATATATAGATAGATAGATAGATAGATAGATAGATAGATAGATAGATAGATAGATAGATAGATAGATAGATAGATATATATATATATATATATATATATATATATATATATATATATATATATATATGTGTGTGTGTGTGTGTGTGTGTGTGTGTAAAGTGGACGGATTTGGGTTGATCTACCGATGTTATTTCTGTCGTGATAATAAATCATGACATATGACAGTTGATAAATGGTTCACCGGCTGGAAATATCTAGTCCTCTGTATCCGCGATATAACACCGCACATTCACACATATTACGATGAACACCACGTGCCTTGCGAACAGAAACACACACGCACACACACACACACACACACACACACATATATATATATATATATATATATATATATATATATATATATATATATATATATATATATATATATATATATGTGTGTGTGTGTGTGTGTGTGTGTGTGTGTGTGTGTGTGTGTGTGTGTGTGTGTGTGTGTGTGTGTGTGTGTGTGTGTGTGTGTGTGTGTTTCTGTTCGCAAGGTACGTGGTGTTCATCGTAATATGTGCGAATGTGCGGTGTTATATCGCGGATACAGAGGACTAGATATTTCCAGCCGGTGAACCATTTATCAACTGTCATATGTCATGATTTATCATCGTGACAGAAATAACATCGGTAGATCAACCCAAATCCGTCCACTTTACCTCAGCAGGTCACTCGAATAAGATGTAAAATTTGTTGGCTCGGAGAAATTGTAGAGCAAAAATGTGATATGCCGAAGGATCAGAGGGGAAGGTGGGCTGATGTGCTGAGAACATCATACCTTCAAAAGGGGCGCATTTTGAAACCAAAATATATTTACAAATTATGTTGAAGAAGTGTCGTGAGAGAGGCTGCCAGTATGTCCCACAGATAGCGCAGTTAGATATATCAGATCAGATAATGCGTCAGTTAGCCATTTTACAATAGGAAATGGAAAGAACTGTTTGCTCAGTCTGATCCAGGTTCAACTAAAACTGAAACGTCTCATTGCAGAATATCATTTTCTTGTTTTGACAACTGGACAGAGCAGAATGACAGATATGCATATATGTATATATATATATATATATAATATATATATATATATATATATATCATCTCTCGCCCTGTCTCTCTCCCTCTCCCTCCCTCCCTCCCCATCCCCCTTTCCTCCCTCCCTCTCTCCCTCTCTCCCCCTCTCCCTCCTTATCTCCCTCACTCTCTCCATCCTTCTCTTCCTCTCTCTCTCTCCTCTTCTCTCTCTCTCTCTCTCTCTCTCTCTCTCTCTCTCTCTCTCTCTTCTCTCTCTCTCTCTCTCTCTCTCTCTCTCTCTCTCTCTCTCTCTCTCTCTCTCTCTCTCTCTTCTCTCTCTCTCTCTCCTCTCTCTCTCTCTCTCTCTCTCTCTCTCTCTCTCTCTCTCTCTCTCTCTCTCTCTTTCTCTCTCTCTCTCTCTCCTCTCTCTCTCTCTCCTCTCTACTCTCTCTCTCCTCTCTCTCTCTCTCTCTCTCTCTCTCTCTCTCTCTCTCTCTCTCTCTCTCTCTCTCTCTCTCTCTCTCTCTCTCTCTCTCTCTCTCTCTCTCTCTCTCTCTCTCTCTCTCCTCTCTCTCTCTCTCTCTCTCTCTCTCTCTCTCTCTCTCTCTCTCTCTCTCTCTCTCTCTCTCTCTCTCTCTCTCTCTCTCTCTCTCTCTCTCTCCGCGTAGAACACTGTGATCAACATGTAAATGAATTTGCAGCGGCAATTTGTGCGGAATTCACTTTAATGTGCAGTTGTTTGATACGCTGTTAGATAGGCGGGCATAAGCAATGGGCATAAGTACGCCTTTAGAGAACGCTAAGACTCCCGTCACTTTCACTCACCTCGCTCATGTGGTTCACGTTGCATCCCAGCTCGACCAGCTTGTCCACCACAATTACCCGGTTGTCCTTCGCTGCGTACATAAGGGGAGTGTAGCCATTCTGAAACAAGAACATGAGTCAGACGAAATCGAGCATGTCACGACTATTAATGCAAAGTTGGCCCATTGACTATGAGGGCAAAAATGTGATATCCAGTCTTAGATATTAAGAGCAACTTTCATTGAATAACCAGTGCAAATTCAGCACATGAGAGCAACTTGAACGAGATACTCCTCAAATGTATTACTCGAGCCACACATATTCAGAATGGCAATGAAACTCGTATAAATGAGTTTGACACAATCTGTTAAGCCTAATCAAGTTCAGTTTGTCACTCCGTCGAACTTTTTTAGTTGAACTAAATGGGGTTTATTAAGAAAACAAAAAGGACAGCATACGACTTGAGATGACTGGAAATGACTAAACTTCCCGGTGAGAGCTTGTCCAGAAAGCAATAGGTGTATACACGTGCATGGCTATTCAAATCTCTCCGGAGGCACATTACTCCTCCCTCCTCCCTCCTCCCCCTCCTCACCCGTTGCGCTTGTTTCAGACCCGCAACGTCTTACCAAAACTTAAAAAATTAGTTCGCCAAAAAGTGCAAGAACAGGAAAACCTGATGCTGTGGAGTAAGACTGCTCTGGTATGTATCGCCTCAAGAGATTTGAATGAGGGTCCAGTTTACGCTCCAGACTGCAGACACGCGCCAGCCCCAACTGACAGCTGTGAGACGCGAGCGGCCGGTGGTCTGAAGCTGACCCAGTCGGACGGCGGGACGCGTCCGGTCAGCGAGCCGGCGGGGCCAGGCCCTCTGCAGTCCGAACACCAGCGGCACGCGGCCGGTCAGCGAGCCGACGGGGCTAGGCCCTCTGCAGTCCGAACACCAGCGGCACGCGGCCGGTCAGCGAGCCGACGGGGCTAGGCCCTCTGCAGTCCGAACACCAGCGGCACGCGGCCACCAGGACAACATGCCGCCCCCGTCCCGTACGTGCGTGATCGGGTGGGAGCGCGTGTAATGGCAGAGGGGAGAGTGCTTCCGGCCGCGGCTGCGTCCACATGGTGGGTATTACCTGGCCGCAGCCCTTACATTCAACCATTCATGGCAGTGTCCATACGAACTACAGATTCGTATACAAACTATGAAAAACGACGTGATAGCTTAGCATGCTCTCGGTAAAGTACGATAGGGAGTGTGAGTCACACGACGCGTGCAAACTCGCAAGCTCAATGCAATCTCACTTTCGACGCAACACGCGTCCAATCTCAGCGCGGTCATTCGCGGCGCGTCCACCGGCAGCAAAGCAGCCACGAGGTGCGCGGTCTCAGCCACGCCGTCTGTTCACGAGCGGGGGCCACGCGGCCGAACGCGGCGTCAGCGCGTCACGGTGACCGGACTCCACGAGGCGGGCCGGTCACCGATAGTGCGGCGTGATCGGCGAGATAATCGGCGGCGTGATCGGAGAGATAATCGGCCGATTCCGTTAATAGTCCGGCAAGCCCACTCACCTCTGATTTACGACGAATACCCGCCGGCGCCGCCGGCCGGCCCGACAGACCTTCACCCAGATTGGTGGCGGATGTGGTCGCTGTGGTGTGCTGGCTGGGGTTAGGGCTAGGGCTTTGCAGGGCTATGGTGTTGCGGAGGAAGAGGATGAGACTGTTGGTACGACTGGGATTCGCTGTCACCGCTGCAGACCGGAGATGGATTGCTGTATCGAAATCGTTCGCATAAATGACCTTCATAGGCCAGATTCACTGCCGTGGGACCGTCTGTTGACTACACCATTTCCTACTGGAATCCAACAGAAATGGTAGAAGCGGGGGGGGGGGGGGCAGGGGCAGTCGCACTCCGATCTCTGGAAAAATTAGTACCAACTTTATGTCGCCAATGGAAACAAGTAAGGTGCAAATTCATCTCCCCTCTACTCCTCATCCTCCCAGAGGATCTATCGTCGTTTCATCTGTCGCACATCGCGAATTAAGCGCACCAGTCGCGGCGGCATAAGTGGCGCTGGCCGGCCGATCGTATCGAGATTGCCACACGGGCCGCGCTGGAAGACGAGCTTCGGCCGAACCTTTACGGCCCATCCGGCGTTATGGCGGCGGGCGGCCATGTCAAGACCAGTGCCGAGGTCACCACGTCGGCTTATTCAGCGGTGACCCGACCTCCGACGCTGGGTGGGCGCCTCTCGACAGTGCAGCGAATCGAGTCGTAGGTATGCCGGTGGCGCGGCCGGCCCGCCGCGCCTGCACAGGACGCGAGCGAGAGCCGCCGGCTGCGAACGCTGCGGTGGGTCGCTTGACCGGAGCAAGGGCGTGCGTTGCGCTGCCTCTGTCGCCGTCAGTAGCGCGCTAGCTTCCTCGCACAGGTATGCCATGCAACAGAGCACTCTGAGTCTGTAGGAACTAGGAGTCTGAAAATGTGCTGCCCTTAAAAGCATAGCTGTTAAAATATCAACCAATGGTGCAAATCTCTCTAAATAAACGCAGAGAGTCATTTAAGTGTTTTGAAAGAATAACACTTAGGTTTCGCCTCAACACAGAAGATGTTTCCCATTGCATTCAGAATAATTACTACATTATGCGCACTCGAGCAATGGCATTTCAAGCAAAATAGCTCATTCATAACACGGAGGAAGGGGAAGAGGATAGAAGTGACGACAGCACCACATTTGCCTGCTGTGGCCGTGCCAGTGCGCCGGCATACACACTCGGAGCGCATGCCAAGGCACCTGTCCGCCGGGGCCAATGCAGCTCAGCACGCGTCTTCGTCACCCCTTTCCCCGCCCGCCGCGTCCACGCATCACCGCATTCCGGGCGGGGCCCGTGACCTGCGCCCCGCCCTGTTGCCCTGCCCTCGGGCGACGTGTAGCGTTAATGACCGCTAATGGCCTGACTGGGGCCAGAGGTCAGCGCCGGCGGCGATCGCCGCTGGCACGCGTGCAGTCGCCGCTGTCGTGACGCAGAAAAACGGCCGCCCGTGCGATGTCTAGCGGGGGGAGGGGGGAGGGCAGCTCGGAAGTGGAGCAGCGTCTCGGAGTTTTTACCGGACAAACGGCGGCTTCGCACGCCAGCCGCGGAGGTGCGGTGTCCGCTCGCCTGGCGAAAATGCGCTGTCTGTTGAGCACGTTACGAAAACGTCTTTTGCGCTCCTTGTTAAGTTTATGCCCCCCTCCCCTTCGCGGGCTCCTCCTTCAGTGCCTGGCGGCGCCCCTGCTCGGATTACATGCGAACGGCGCATGGTGCCGGCGGCTCGGTAAATCACTCTATGAAAGCCCAATAAACCGCCCAATTACAGGCGTCATTAGTCGCGTGCAGTGGCGTTCGGAGCCGGCCGTGCCAACCGGAGAAATAAACAGCCTCCGACCGCACGCATCGATCACCGTGACCGACGCAGCCCCTCCCCATGCGCTCGCCCGGAGCGGGGGGGGAGCGATTCCCGGGACCGGCGGAGTCACGCTCCCCCCCCCCCCCGTCCCGAGCCGCGCCGCGCTGCAGCAAATTTGTGCCGAAACGTAGAACGGATGGCCCATTTAGAACGTGGAAAGTTAGAAATGTCTGCATGCACTTTTTCCTTTTTGAAATCCTACAGCTGCCGATGCGCGACTGGCCGCGCAATGATGTGTGTTGGGCATTTCTTCAAGTTTTCAATTGCAGGCACACATCTCCGGTATCAGGCAATGCCCGCGGTGTTCCTCAAACCCAAGTCAGGCACCACGCCAAATCATGATCTTTTGTAAGAAAGCGGTATCGCGGTGACAGGCGTGATGACGTCAGAGCCTTGATTGAAATTACTTACTGAAATTGGTAACATGTTAGGGCCGGAAATAGCCTTGTTCAGCAGCGTTTGCGCGATTTTCCTTAACATTCTCTCCGTGGTTTTAACAAAGGAGAAGTCCTGACGTTGGTGTCACTACGACGCCTCGCCGGTCTGACCGGGATGACAACGAGAGCCGGTGTCATGCGGTTACATCACGTTGCTAAGCAGCCGGCCAATTATCTATGAGACTGGCTGTATGGAAGAGGGCTCAGGGTGCGACCTTGCGAAGCCGGCGGTGGCGTGGGGCGACCTTCGTCGGAGGTGCCTGGGGGCTTCACGTGGCCGTACTGACACACGCCAAGGCAGGCCCCACAAAACTGGGTTAAAGCTTGGATGAAGCTTTGTACAACTCAGACTGGCGTAAAAAGAACACGGAGCGTTATGGCCTCAGGCAGTAGGAACAAGCGTTGTCTGGGTAAGGGAACAGATGATGCTTTTTTTCTCTAATATATATATATATATATATATATATATATATATATATATATATATATTGTACCCGGGATAGTTTCCATTGTTTCCAAAACTGTTGGTCTGCGTATGAATGACCCATCAAGGTAAAGAATTGACTTTGCGTTGCGGTTGGATCAACCTGATACCGTTCCCTTGCAACGCAGTTGCAGAGAACGTATGTTCGTGCTGCCAAAACAAAGTTTTATACGACCGACAAGGAAACGTCGCAACAGACGCGACTGCATTTTCATCGAGTTCACAAACTCACAGCAGACTAATTATGAGCAGCAACACACATCTCTACCAGCAGTCGCGCACGATCCAACAGAGACAGCAGAAATACCGTGAGGCTCGGGGCTTTGTCTCCCGGGGCTCTTCCGGCTCTTATCACAATGTAGCCACGCCTCGTGGAGGGACTTGGTGAGAGGCCCCACAGCGGGCCGGACAGCAACATGCCGGGTTGAGCTGGGTAGCTCTTGTGGAGAGGTCTCTTCGAAGGATGATGGGAAAGTCGTGTCGCACGTCATGCTCTTAGCGACGACTTTACAAATTGTATTTATCGTGCTCAGGAAAACTGTGAGGCAAGTGGTCTTAACGAGTTTTGAATAGCATGCCATCACTATTGCCAGCATAATGTGCGCGTTCAAGCTAATGCCACTTATGCGCAAAGTTCGTGCAGGAGGTGATGCCTCTGCAAAGTTTAGATGTTTACTGCTTTCGCTGGAAATGATAAAGTATCAGTATGTGTGCACACCAGGAGGGCGGAAGGCCTGCAGCCTGAGGCCTC